CCCCCCCCCCCCCCCCCCCCCCCGCTTCACCTCCACTTCCTGTCCTCTCTGGGCGGACGTAACAGTTTCCAAATGTGCCCACGTTGAGCTCAACAACCCCTCAAAACCTCCGAGGTCCAACTTAAGGGTCTGAACTTGTGCAGGAACTTACTAACTTTACTCAGCTGTGTCTTGAGCTTTAAGGACCTTTTTGTCCATAAAAACTGCAAGAAGAAGACCGTGAGGAGCAGTTGAAAGCTCCATTATCTGTAGTATTGGTGTAAGGAATGGCTGCACCTACGGAGAATCTCATAATCGATCAATCTGTTGAGTACTTTCAGATTATTAGATTTTAGTTTTTATTGGAAAAAGCTTCTTTCGATGTTGTTAAGCTCGACCAGTTTGTCCAATGTGAGATTTAATATCTTTATAAATGTAAAATATTTGAGTTGAAACAAAGCAAAGACGTGTTCTTGGTCTCTGTTCCAGTGTTTTTATGACATTTTATTTGTATTTTAACATATAAATAAATGAACTGTTTGTAGATGTTTTATAAATCAAACCCTCATATTTTGAGTTTTATGATTATTTATTATTCATGATTATTATCCGTAGCAGGTTGTTTCCCGTTAAACAGCTGCTTTAGAGAAGTCACTCCGTCCACTGATGGTCCCATTGACCTCTGAGGCTTCTGGGTAATGGATCCATGTGTCCCGCCTCCAGCAGGCCCTGATTGTAATGAGGCGGGGGGGGGGGGGGGTCACGAGGTCAGCAGTGGTTCAGGAGAACAGGTGTCCTTCAGTCCATGAAGCTTGTTTCAGTTTGAGGAGATTAGTTTTTAGAGGTTTGATCATAAAAGTCTGGATTCATGTGTTGATCAAGAATATATGAACCAGTTTATGAAGCAATCGTTTGACGTACAAGAAGCCGGTTTAAGGAACTTTATAGGCTTTGAATCGTTCTACTTTGGCACCAGTTTGATCGTTACCTGAAGGAGATGAAGGAGACTGTGGGGACATCGAGGTGGTCACAGAGACGAACTGTAACATGTTAGAGATGTTTAAATAAGCTTTGTTTTCATCACATCCAGTTCTTAGTCTCCGTTGTTGTTGTTGATGTCTTTTGGTTTGAAGCTCAGAAAGATAAAAGGTTTTACTTCACATTCATTTAAGATTTTGTGACATAATTAAGTCGTCATTTAACTTTAACATCTCATGTTAGGAGAGTAGAAACGGATCCTGCAGGATGACCAACTTGATGTGTTCCAGTCCTGGATTTTGACCTGAAGAACGAGACCTAAAAGAGATTTAGAAACCAGCGTTCCCGTTGTGAATCGGACTCTTCTTGTCTCCGACAGAACAAGAGGAGAACTTTGAGTTCACCATCGTGTCTCTGACGGGGCAGACGTGGCACTTTGAAGCCACTTCGTACGAGGAGCGAGACTCCTGGGTCCAGGTGATCGAGAGCCAGATCCTGGCCAGCCTGCAGTCCTGTGAGAGCAGCAAGAACAAGGTATATTGTATATTCAGTGTTTATATGTTCATGTATTTATGATAACACCATTTATTTGTGGCAAACATGGAATGATTCTACATTCTCCTGTTTCTTCTCGTCAAATGTTCTGAGAAAGTCCTCGTTAGCGTTTTATTTCTTACGTTTATTCGACGTAAACAAAGAAACCGTTCAGTGGTCAATAACTAGTGTTTGTCTGTCTCAGTCTCGTCTGCCCAGCCAGACGGAGGCCATGGCTCTGCTGTCCATCAGAGGAATCAGAGGAAACGGCCGCTGTGCCGACTGTGAAGCTCAGAGTGAGTTCATGATCGACGTAAAAGTATAAACCTGCGCGTCTTTGTGAAACATTCACTGAATCCCTCTCTCTCTCCGCTGGATCCAGACCCAGACTGGGCCAGCCTCAACCTGGGGGCCCTGATCTGCATCGAGTGCTCGGGGATCCACAGGAACCTGGGCACCCACCTGTCCCGGGTCCGGTCTCTGGACCTGGACGAGTGGCCGTTGGAGCTCATCAAGGTGATGTCGGCCATCGGGAACGAGCTCGCCAACGGCGTGTGGGAGGCCAACGCACAGGGGCGCCTCAAACCGGCTCCGGACGCCAGCAGGTAGGAGGAGCCTGTACCTCAGTTAAAAATACTCAAAGTACCTCTGCTGTGTATTTAGGGGCAGTACCGTCAGCTGCACATAGGGGGCAGTGTTTGATAAAAGAAAACAAACATGGCGACGGCCAAAATCCAAGATGGCCAAAAACCAAGATGGCGATGGCCACAAACAAACATGGCGACGGCTAAAATCCAAGATGGCGACAGCTAAAAATCCATAGGGGGCAGTGTTTCTCTCAGGATGTGATGCGCATCGACCTCACAGGCTTGTTTCTGAGTGTTGTCTTGTAGACTACAGGGATCGTAACAAATGGGTGAACTTTAGCGTGACGTTGGTGTGTGTGTGTGTGTGTGTGTGTGTGTGTGTGTGTGTGATTATCGGCCGCTGCAGCTTTGGGAAGCCAGCAGCCATCATAACAAATTAGAGCTGACTGCCATCCACAGAAAGATCGACTTCCCCGTCCTCGCCCTGCTCTCACCCCCCCAACGCTCATTAGTCAACAGAAGCACCTTATAACCACCCCCCCCCCCCACACACACACACACACACACACACACACACACACAGTGTATACAGACAAACACATTCACACATTTTAACCCGACAATAAAAACTATTTACACCACCTGTTCTCACAAGCTTTAGAAGAAGTACTACATCATTTACTGCAGTCAGAGTACAAATACTCTCCCCTCTACTGTCTCTCACAGCTGATATTGTACTTTTAACTGCACTATGTGTATTGTATAAGTATGTTAAGTATAAGGTAAATCATTTGTGATTAGCTGATGTCTTTACGTTCAGTTCATCAGCTGTGTTGAGCAGAAAAACCCTCCAGTTCTGTAAAGTGAAGTCAAAGCTTCAAGTGTTAAAGCTGCATTTTCTCTAGTGACCACCGGGGGGCGACTCCTCTGGTTGTATAGAAGTCTATGAGAAAATGACTCT